AAGGAGCACGTGAAGAAAGAAGGATCTGACACATGATCACAGGTGAAAGACGCGCACATAAAAAAAAAAATCAATATACCTCTATATTCATTCAATTTCGATTTAATCAGTGATTCTAATGGTCATCTGATGATGTGGTCCACACTACTGGACAGCATCCCAGCCTTCCGTAACCAACAAACAATGTTACATTTATTAACATAATGATGCATTCATCTAGTGTGCTTCTGCAGGACATCATTCACTCTCTCTCTCTTTCTCTCTCTCTCTCTCTTCCCCCTTTCATTCTTCCTTGGGGAAAGTGATGGGGGAAGGGAAGCTGTAGAATGCTTGGGACAGAAGCTGCTCTCCGCATGGAAAGGCGAGTGAGAACATGGGTGAGTAAGCTGAGAGAAAAGAAGAGAAAAAAAAAAGGGAAAAGGAGAGGGGGGGGGGGGGGGCATTACCTCGCCTCCTTTCACACTGATGAATCCATAGGTCTCTCTTTTTAAATTTCCTTTATTGACATGACTTGGAGCCTACTTATGAAAAGCCCTACATACTATATAACAGCACAAGTATACTTCACATAGTGTACTGCAATTTTTTTTTCAGGAAAATATTTTCTAAAAAATAAGTCCTGGTCTACTAAATTTGTGGGGAAATCGACTGTGTTCTTAGAACAACAACTGTTCCTGTTCGTCTGCTCTCACGAGTTACTCTTTAGCTTGTGGTCAGTGAGACTCTGGTTAATTTATGTTTTCTCCAGTTTCTTGTCAGTCAAAGCAGCCAAAACCTCTGTCACTCCATACTCTCGGTTCAATGTCTTAACCACAATGAAGTTTACCCCACAGAATGGCAACTCTGTGGCTCCTTCAGCCTAGGAAAGGGTGTTTGGAATTGAACTTCTTTTGTAATTAAACAGAACTGTTTCTTACACAAAGACTTTTGATGAGCTAATGTCCTGTGGCTCCTCCTGTGTGTGGACAGCACTGCGACTATAACCTCCGGGGACCTGGGCCTCTCTGTGGCTCTGACCCCAGCTGATACGCTCAGTTCTCCAGCACTCTCCAGATAAATAAGCAACGTGGGTGGGTGTGGTGTGGTGTGGGGTGTGTGTTAGGGAAATGAGGATGTGATCAATCACAGCTAATTCTATGTCAGTATTCTTGTTAAACCGACTTTATACAATCATTTTACAGGCTTTGAACAATAGATTACTTTTCTATTTTTTATTTTAGAGAGATCCGATCAGTGAGTCAAAGTCTGAGAAGAAAGTCAAACGTTTAACTTAAAATCCCCAACATCAATAAATAGAATAAATGATTACACATATCTGTGTCAATGAACCCGTCTTGTTTGAGAGCTAAACCAGTGCTTTTGCTGAATTTCTGATGTGATCAAACAAGAAAATAGTTCACTTTTCCACATGCTCGTTCACTATGAATTATAAAACACAGAGATGAAAGAATGGACCAAAACAAAGAACTAGCTAAACGTTAGCCAAGCTCAGAAAGAAAGATATCAAAATGTGTTTATTTTAAAAAATATAGTGAGTATTTACTTGAGCAATTAATCATCCTGACCAATCGTCACTCACACCTATGGTTAATTTAGTGTTCAAATAATCTGAGCCACATGTTTTTGAATCTGGAGAACATGGCTCCATAGCTCAGGGGTTAGAGCACTGGTCTTGTAAACCAGGGGTCGTGAGTTCAAATCTCACTGGGGCCTGATCATTTTCTTCTTAATTTCCCAATAGGAACTCACGAGGCATTAATAACAATCTATCCATGTATCTATCATACAAGACCTGAGATTGAACCACTGTTCTTCTTGCTGAGTATGTTGTTCATCTTATGGCCCAAAGTTTGTCATAGTAAGTTGAGAAAAATACATTTTACGCAGCCGCTACAAATACTTGATTCAGCTTCCCAACAATAATAATTGGATCCAAAAGTTTCAAGCTCTGATTCTTCACTCACAGAGAAAACTGTTATCTTGTTCACGGTCAAAACTGCTTTGATAAAACACAACTCTCGCACACTGTATGTACTGTACAGCTTGTTGCCAGCAGACAGTTCCAAAGCCTGGAATAGCAGCATCTCAGTGGGAGTCCTTCAAACAGGGCAGCCAGTATAATTAGCTCTGTCGAAGCAGGGCCTTTAGTAAATGACACAGTCCCCTAAACCATGAGTTTAACACTGACAAGAGGACATTTACTGGGGTGTTAAAAATACAGTCCTCAAGGTTGGAAAGGGGGAAAAGATGTCCGTCTTTTGCCTTTAGCAATGAGACAAAGAGTTCGTACATTAGGCAGTTTCTGAGGTGAGTGCGTACACATCACTCTGTGCTGTGACAACGCATGCATCCAGGAATAAGTCACCTTACTGACTTCATCTCACAACTCTGATGCATCACACATTGCACATGGTAACTCACACACACGTAGAGATGTGCTGGGACTGAGCAGCATATATGTGACTATGTGACTACATGTGAGTCAGTTAAGTTCCCATCCACACTCTGCTGGGATGACAGCAAGTTGGCAGGCTTTGCAGCTGGAGCTTTTAATTTCCCTCACTTGTTCCTTTATCACTCCATTCTCCCAGGATTCCCTCCATTAGATAACACAATTCTATGTTCTAACTGCCACTTTTCCATCCATTCAACCAATGAACTTTACAAATTTGGAAGCTATGGTCCAGTGTGTTGTTGTGTGGGTGTATTTTTCCTTCAAAGCATTCTTTGAACTGATCGTCTGTGTTTGTACTATACACTGCTGCCATTTGTACTCTGGCTTAAGACACATTATGTCATACTTGTGCGATTCATAAGTAAAACAAAAGGAGGGATCTACTGTTAAGATGACTCACGGTGAGTCATCGTGAATGTATAGACGGAGTCCATAAAAACTAAACCTGTGTGTTTAATGGACTCCATCTATACTTTATCTCATTGATGAATTTGAAGAAAAAAACTTCATCTGAATAAACAGAGACACAGATACTTAATTACCATCCAAATGAAGCTACGAGGGATACACACAATGTTTTTTTGTCATAACAAATACATATGCTCTCACATTAAGCTTCCTGCATTTAAAGATCCAACAATGGGACAGTCACTGAGACGTGGTAAAACTGGAAGTGGCTAAAACTAATTATCACCTTTACCTCAGAGAATTAGAAATTACAGAAACACTCATCTTTTGTGTGTAAAAGGAAGTGGGGAGTGGGGGGGACATTGAAAGGCTTATGGAAAAGGTCTGAATGAATCATACAATCCTCACCATAGTGGCTGAGGTGGCTGTGTCTCAGAGTACATGAGTCATGTTTATCATGCAGCAGCCCTGGAAATGCACTGCAAAACTCTCTAACACATCCCATCTCCATTAGGAATGCTGCCTTAGTGCAAACATTTACCTGATGATGGAAAACAACAGCCCTAATGCTGCTAAAAGCTGCCAGTGATAGCTGCGCACACACAGCTTACACTTGAGGCTCTGGCAAATGTGGAGACGCAACACCAAGCAACACAAGCAACACTTTGTTTTACCACGACAAACTTGATATGATTTTTATGAATCTATTCTCCAGGAGTGTCTAGTGTGCTAAACAAACAGTGGGATATTACAGAAACACAGGTCAAGTTTTCACGGCCTCTCAGATCAGTGAGGCTGACCTACAGCCATATGTCCCTGCTTCATTCAACTACCTTTTTAAACGTACTCGATTATAGGTAAGATATTTCAATGAAAAGAAGTAACGTATCAAAGATCAGGGACCCATAAATCAGCCAATCAACAGTTCTGCATCTCAACCATGAGAATCGTACATTAGCAAACAATTCTGTTTAATGGTCTTAAAAAATGTTAATCAAATCAAACCTTGCAAATACAGTTCCAAGTTGTTTTAATAAATAAAATTGTAAAAAATCAATTCAGGAACTGAAGTGAGAAGTGACATCTAGAAGTTCAAAAACAAAACCATGAACCCTGTACAGAAGACACCTGGTGGAGGTAGAAACTCTAAACCAGTGGGAAATGTGACTAGAACCATTGTGATTACTCCCACGTGGGTATAATCACATTGAAAGGTGACAAATCTTGTAAGGAATAGTTTAAATATTCCAATAGTAATTATTTATTCATTAAAATATATACTGTAAATCCCGTGTATAAACGAAGACGGAAAGAAGGCAGGGAAATCAACAGAAGGGAAACATTTAAGGCGTCTTCACTTCTCTAAGGCATCGACAATCCACAGAAGGTGGCACCAAATATTGTTTTCTTTATTTAATTAGCGGCAAATCAGCTGAGAGTGTTTACTAATCTGTATAAGACGACAGGGTGCAGTGTTCCACTGTTTAGAAAAGGAGAGTTATGGCTCACGTTGTAAAAAGGGAAAAAGGTTAAAGCGGTGGAGTCGGCTGCAGAAACAACTCCGGTCCACCTTAAACACTGGAAAGCCTACTGTGTGGACAGCTCCGTGGTGCTGAAACAGCTCCGAGCGACATCTGTACACAAGAGGAGCAGGAGCAAGAGCGGGGGGGCACTGGGAAGGAAATGGACGGGAGGGGAGGAGAGAGCAGACCTCCAAGATGGGCAGGATCTGCTGCTAAAATCACACACATTAACACGCATCCCGCGTGCACCATCCATTGCTACAAAGGACACCTTAAATGATCTCTCCCAGTGTCATGTTGTGTAATCTCGCTGACGTTCGTGGGAAAATGCTGAAGCAATTTGGCTGGATTCTTTTTTTTTTTTCACGTGAAAAATGGCGCCCGCTGCTGCCAACCCAGCCCATGATAGTATAGTAGAAGGTGTAGCCAACAAACAAAGTGTATGCCGCATTATTAATATGATACCAAGCCATTAAAGCTAAAGAGGAAGAGGAGGGGTCAGGAAATTATAAGACGAGGCCAGAGACAGAATGGTTACTACAGACTATATATAAAAAAGTCACATGTCAGCCAACATGAGTCTTACACATACGAAAAATGTATTTGCTTCTTACTTTAACATTGACTGTTCCTTCGCCTCCTCTTTCTTCTGTCGGTCCATGACACCGAGGATGATTTTCCTCTCCTCCTCAGTGAGGTGGCTGAGGTCCGGCAGCTCCGGCATGGCGCCGGTCGCTGAGGCAGCAGTGGCGGCGGCGGTAGCAGGGCCAGCGCCGCCCCTGGGCCCGTGTGGAGCAGACATCTTAAACACACGCTGGCTGCAAGGAAAAATAAAATAAAAGAACATGAGCACCATCAGCTGCTGTCAGCCCGGATGTAACACACAGGACACATGCTGGAACATCTCATGCTGTCAGAAAGGGGATTTTGCTGCAGGCACGGTGGCTTACACACGGTCTGGAGTAGCGTATAATTCTTACACCGTGCGTCAAAAATATCAATTACAGGCTTCATCCAAACCCATTAACGCCTCATGATCGCTTTATTAAATGTGCTGCAGCCAAGGGAGGGGGTCGCCTCGCATCATTCACATTGAAAGGCACCAATTCACACATGAAAATGTCGTAGAAGTGGGGGAGAAAAAGCTCAAGCTCGTGGATGTTGTAGAGATGTCCCCGAGATTCTGGTCTGCACACAATCTGCTGGTAATCCGAGCACAAGCCTTCATCCATCCATCCATTCATCCAGGGAGAACACGCAAATGAAAAAGGTAAAATACATAAACAAATTCAGAGAAAATACTCCTGCCTTTTTATTTCGCAGTCATGGTGAATCCTGTCTAACCCATCGCTGCCATTCTCTAAAAAGGTTACACTCGCATGCCGGAATAAAACGATGACCGGTGCGTCCTCGTCTGATGGAGCCCTTCTCAACCCTCCTCTGTCACTCTGCTTAGCTCGCTTTCCTCCAGATTGGTAATTCTTGGAGATTTCTTAAAAGCACAATAATGGATGCATCGAGGGAGAGTGAGTGAGTGAGAGAGGAGGTAAAAAAAAACAGATAGGAAGGAAAGGGCGGAGCGAACGAAAGACGTAGAGGAACAGAGGCGAGAGGAGGCTGCTGGATGTTCATTGACAGCAGGCAGGCAGCCGCCGCTAAAACACGGACTGGAAGTTGCTGTTTGCAGCTGGAGCATGGTTAATATTTCATAAGCTGATCATGAGCACTGCGCAAGGGGCCAAATGTGGAGAGGGAGGAGATAAATACAGGATATGACATGCAACGACGGCTGTGCTTTTGTTTGATGCACTACACGCTCATCACGTGACTAACAATGCGATGACAAATGGAAGAATGAATGTAATATTAATTGGATGTCAACTTTTGAACTGACGCCATTTAGAATGATTAATTTATCAGATACAGAAAAGTCAAAACTTCTGTTATCATGTCATAAATGTTAACAGAAGTGCAGTTCAGTAATCACTAAAAGCTTGGTTTTATTTTTATGTTTTACCTATACTTTCTAATAAATAAACATAATAAATTAAATATTATACGTATTGCACATTTAAGTTCATAAATGTAACATTTTGAGTGTTTTCATAACAAGATACAGTGTAAAAGGAGCATCCCCAAAAGGCCTGATGAAAAAGGACACATTTTGTTTCATCATTTCACATGGAACTGGGAATGATGTTTATAATCTGACAATTTTCCATAAAAGATAGCAAAGGCCCATCACTATCACTAAAAAGACACATCAGGAGAAACCTTGGCACATTAAGGTCAAAGGTTTGGTGTCTGAGTGTGGGCTGATTACTTAAATCAGCATCTCTCAAACTAAGGTGCACAGAGCACGAGTGGAACATGGGGTCTTTTTCCTTGGGTGTAATACACACAGTAATTTAAATCAAATACAGCTGTTGTATATTTTGCTTGCTCTGTGTGGTTGCAACATTAAGTTTAAATGCCAGTTGTAGTGATCCTTCATTGTACAGTGTGGCTAATAATCTCCTTAGGTATGGTGTACTTTGTATACTGTGATAAGATGAGCACTAACAACTGTATTTAATGTTGGCCATACTGGTGGTACTTGAAAAAAATCAAATATGTCCCTAAGGTGCTAGTCAGAGTAAAATGTTAAAAAAAAAACACTGTTTTTGTATGTAAGAAATACCAAACACACAAACCATTCTTGTGAGTGGTCTAAATGGTACCAGAAACAGAACTACTGTCTGCAGTTTAGCACAAGGTGACAACAAACCTGCCAACCTGAACTCTGACCCCAGATAGAAAATGTTTCACACACTCTCGGCCACCACTGTTAATAGGATTTGAAGGACAACATTAAGAGGATGGAGTCTCTGCCTGATTAAGGCTGTAAGTAAATTAGCACCATGGACAGTGATCTGCTGCAATGAATCAAAAGCCATGTTGTTTCGTAGTGGGTCAGATTCTTGCTTTTGCAAAATGATGTCTTTTATACAACGATTGAAAAGTCATTTAAATATGCACTCCAACTAATTTCAGTATCAAAGTCAGTATCTAGAGGTAATGGTCATCCCTCAGAAATATAACCCAATATTGGGCAGAGAAAAACTGCTAAACACCCAGAACTGTCATTAGAAATGTAATATTAGAAGAAGAAAAAAATCAAATATAAAGCAATCAAACTATTCACGTTGCACCATTTGCAGTTCAAATGGTGCAAAGTGAATATTTGGATGACTATGATGACGAAAGATTTCTGTATTGAAAAATACTAATGCATGCAAAAAGCATTACACATTTGTATTTTTTCAGTACAGAAGATTAATATCTTGGAGAAAAAAAGTACAATGAAAAACATAACATTTGTACTGCAACCAGTCAATTTATTGTTATTTCCCTCTAAATAGGATCACAATATCACCATATTTTGGAGAAGAGACAAAAATATGAAATATATGTGCCTGAAACCGATGTGGTGTGTTGAGGATAATGATAAATACCACCCTTAATTTTTCAAAACTCTTTAATTACAAAAAGTAACTTTTGCATAAAGTAACATTCGTATCTTAGTTTGGTCGAACTAGAAAAATGACCCAAGTCTTAATTAAAAAAAAAAAGAAAATCACATGAATGAAACAAAACTGGAAGTATGTCAACGCAGACATTTTTGATTAAGCTCGGTGTTTACTGTCAATTTTTTCTGCACTCTTGAATTTAGATTTTCTTTGAAAAAGTTCTGTACACAGTTCTTGATCTTCTATTCTCATCCACTTACACTCATTTCACCACAGCAACAACATGCTTCTCCTTCTCAGGTACCACAGGAACAGCCCCTGGTTTGCTGTGTTTGCGGACATTCTTCTCCCTATGAAAATGTAAAAAAAAAAAAAAAAGAAGTAATTGAGAAAATGCAGAGTGAGTCAAACAAACAAAGAACAGTGAAAAAACAGGATGAATGAATGAGAATATTGACACAGGACCCACGTCACTGACTGCACTAATGTGCTCTGGAAATAATACATTACACATGGATAGTAAATCATTCACAAGTCCAAACACACATCTGACACATCGCAGAGTCCTGCCAGTAATTACAAAGCAGAGCTGCAGACAGCTATGAATCATAGGGCGACAGGACAAACAATCAATCCAGACCAGTAGCAAATGAGCATGTGATCCACACTGAGACAGTCGCACTTGGTTCCGCTGTGTAAAATTTTCCATTAGGGTAACGTGACGTCTGGAATCAACACCTTATGCCAGTCCAGAAGCTGGTACTAATGCTACATTAGTGAAGAAAGAAGGAAAAAATTGAACACATACTTCCTACGACGAGCCTCTTTCATGACCCTCAGCTCCTTGGTCTGGTGGTAGATGTTCTTGGGTACGTGTCGGTGATGAGCGATGCGCCTGATCTGCGGATGGTGCTGGAACTTCTCCTTCAACTTCTGGTTGTAGTTGATGCTTGCACGCTCTCTGGGGGTAAGCTAAAAAGGAAGGAAAGTGTTGAAAAAAAAAAACTTAAGAGGGAAAGAAGGGTCTGTGAGAGAAGTGGATAAACTGAAGAAGTTATTAATGCAATGCAAGGTTGAAAAAAGTTTGTCTGTCTATCTTTGTCTATCTTTTTTCTGATCTATTTGCAAAGCATCAGTGGCTCATAGTTTGTGTTAGGTCTGAAAGTCTTGGATTGACGTTCTGCTTGAATGGCATTCTCTCAGCCAGTCACAATGATGATGGTGTTCGTACTTTTACATCATAAAATAAAATGTTGGTCACAACAGTGAGCAGTTACTTAAAGCAATAACTTCCTAGTTGACACTGTCTCTTCATATCTGAATCAATGTCCATAAAAAAGTAAAGACAACAGCTCGACAGCATCCCTCCCTCTCCATCTCTCATAAAAGCAGCAGTTGGAGCGGGCAGGGTTCGGCCCGATCTCCTCAAAGGCTTTTATTCTAATTAAAAGCAATGATTTGTCTCCGATTCTGTTGAACGGAGACAATCTTTTAGATGCTGATACTGTTGGACTAAACCAAGACGAAGACACAAAACTACAGCCAAACACGGTGTGACTGTTATGACAACAGGACTGACAGGAATGAGATGGATGACACTTCACTCTGGGTTAGTTATTTATTTTTAAATAAAGTGTCTTCATATTAAGCAGCAGACTGGTTTAGTGTAGCATGAATCATAGCAACAAACGCAGCTACAAAGGTAAAATAACACGCATTGTCTTTAAGTCAATCATCAGGAAAGAAAACTAAATATATTTAATCTGGTATGATGAAGTGTAATAAACCTATACCCCTTGTTATATTTCCTAATAATGAAACAATAACAAACCTAATTTATTATTGCAATTTTATTTAGTCCAATATTAATTAATTGCATTTAATTCTGAAGTTACATGGATGAAGCGTAAATAAATGAATTTAAAAACAAACAAAAATCACTGCTTATAAAGTGACGGAGAAACAACTTAGTTATTGTATGCAGCAGCTGATAGAGAAAGTCCCATCAGTTCGCCCTGACGCCAAGTCTTGATTCAGCATTTCAGCAATTCCTGATAATTAAAGTACAACTTGATTGTTAATGATTCATTATGATCAGAGTAGTCTGCTTTAAGTGATTGGCCCATTTAAACTGCTGATAGGAGCAGCACTTGTCTGATCTCTTTAAGTGCAAAGCCTGCAAATAAATCTTCTCTTACACAGTGACAGTAAAACAAGTGCCAAAAGTGAGCAGATTTCCACTCCGAGGCTACATTAAGAGAATAAGAGAGAGTGAATCCGATTAGGAAGAGAGCGACGGCTGCTAAAGATGGCACGCGACAGGCCGCCGCTCCCTATTACTAAGACTTTTCTGGTATTTCAGTCACAGACCTGATTCTTCTCAGCATTTCATTGAAACTGACCGTCATAACAGAACATTAAAACTGTTGGAGGTGTGAACACAGTCGGCGCCATTTATGAACAACATGGACCCAGTAAAAGAATATTGGGATGAGTGAAGAACATCGGATATTTTTAATCTTCTCTGGGGGAGAGGGGGGTTTCTTGGCAGCTGTATCACTTTGTACATTGTATTAACAAAGACTCTACTCATAGTCAGTAGCCATTCATACAGTATGTTGTGAAAATAGTGCCACCAGTGTCGTCCACTTCAAACCCCAGACATCAGTCCATCACTTAGACAAACAAACATTCACACTCACATTCATACCTGCGATCATTTAGAATGAGTCTAGGCTGGAAGGAGAAACTAAATAAGGTTTGAGCCAGCAATAGAACTATAAGCAGATATTATAATGATGACTGATAGAATTATCACCATGGTGACAGTAGGAAGCAACATTCCAAATGTAAGAGCAGATCATATGGAAGAGTTAGGACAGTAGTGTGGGACTCACCACTCCTAGTTTCTCTGATGCGTTAGCTTTCCACAGCCGAATGTTCATTTCATCAGATCCACTCAAAATGTACTTGCTGTCGGCCGACCACTTAACACAGATGACATGCTGCATACGCTTGGTGTGGTAGACCTCCCTGATTTTTAAAGCCAAAAATATATATATATATATATATATACATTTTGAGACACCATTAATGTTTATACATTGGCTGTTTCACAGTGACTTACAAAATAATTGACATTTTCCACAAGAGTCAATTAAAACAATCAAAGAACTACCTGATTATTCAGCTGTACAAACAACAATGATGACAAAAAAATGTTACATTTAAGGACTTTCCTGCAAAGTGTAAATCTGGAAATGTCTGCCAAATAAATCACTGACTCTAAGACATCTTTAGACCAGATCGGTACCATCATGATAAAACTAGGAGGAACCTCTATAATATTTGAACCTAAAGTCACTGACCTACTGCGACCGCCATCATGAGGGAATATGCGTATGGTCTTGTCAAAACTTGCTGAGACAAACTCCTTTCCGGTTGGTGAATAGTCAACATCCAGTACTGCAGAGACATGGTCCATGTGCACTGTGACTGGTCGTTCCAGGTACCTCATGTCGTATGTGTAGAGGCTGTTGGTGAGAGGGCAAATAAAAACTAACTTTAACGACATTAATGTTCCTTAATATCTAAAAACGGCCTGTCATATAAACATTGTATTTGATTGTGTGTACGGTGTATACTCTGTACGTACTTATAGTCCTCATTTGAAGAAGTAAAGTAATATGCTTCCATAGGGTTCCAACATACTGTGTTACTCCTCATTGTCATAATAACCTGAAAAAAAAAAAATACAATACATTTGCTTTAAGCTAGCATTTCAATGACTAGGTGACATTGAAGAAAATTCTCATTTTAAAAATGAGCAAAAAGGCCCCCGACCTTTTTAAGAGGTGCAGATTCTCTCATGTCATACAGTACTATACTTCTGTCAGAGGCACAACTTGCAAGAAGTTCAGTCTGTGGAGAGAACCAACCCAGTTTGGTAAAAATCGGTCAGGTAGCAGCTCAACACCAGCTTCACATGATAGTTTTTGTGTGGACTTTGTGGATAATCATGGCCAAACCTCTACTGGATTGAAGCGAATGGCACTGAAGCTGTCCACACCCCAGGTGAATGAACGGATGGGTGTGCTCCTCTGTTCGTCCCAGATGTCCACCTGCTGGCCACATGTAGCAAATACAGCATCTTTCTGGTGATGGTCCAATCCTGTGAAGACAGTCTGAGAAAAACGGTGCAACCATAGTTACCTTATATGTAAAGTTATCAGTATCTTTTTTTTTTAGGGTAAACCAGGTTGAAACACTTCTTTGACTTCTTTACTTTGCCTAGAATAGTGTTTAGTGGCTCCTCTTCTTCGCCATAACCAGGTGGTTCCATTTTCCACTGCTTGATGGTTTTGTCATCACCAGCCTATTTGGTAGAAAGCAAAGAAATGCATAAAAATATATATTTTAAATAATAATAATTTATTTGAAATAAAGTAAGCTTGCACGTATCATTTTAAAAGACACCAGTTACCGTAAAGAAAGATGTCCCACAAAAGCGGACGACAATTCCCCGAACGAATCCTTCATGTGCTTGAAGTGAGCGGACACATTCTCGTCTGGAAAGATCCCACATTTTCACCTGGTGATCACAAGCAATGTTTAAGTGCTATGTCTATAAAGTCACACTGCACATCACAGCAAAGGAAATTACACAAAGAAAACCTTTGCCCACTAATTACCTCTCCATCACAGGAACCTGACAGCAGGGTGGAGAGGCTCTTGGTGTGTTTAGCCATACAGTTCACACCATCCCTGTGTCCATCCAATGAAGCCACAAATGGCTTGGCAAACACCCGCTCCAGTTTGGTGGCGTTGAGAGCACGTGTGTACTCTCTGTTCATCTCAAATGGATGTAGTGTTGGGTCATAGTTTCTTGGCACTGAAGGGAAAACAAAGAATTATGAAGACCAAAAGTGTTATGAAGTTTCCCCTTTAGCTAAAAATACTCTGCCCACACATCAGGCTAAGCAGCAAGAGAGAAGACTGTAAGTGTCAGTAAGACAAATCCTACACTCTTAAACACAGATTATTTGGAGATGGGATGTCCTGAACCTCAGGCTTATATATATGGAAACCTGAAATATTCAACTCATCACAAAATACTACCGTCATGTTTTTAGAAAGTGAACTGGCATCATTTGGTTGATGTTTCACAACAATATTCAGACATTTACGTCCATTTCTTGGTCAATTCAACTTATTCAACAATAAACATAAATACGTACTTATATTTTATTTGTGACTTATCTACACACGTGTAATACACTTTCACGGGCGCCTTTACTACTGTTGGAGCTGCGTTATATAGGCTTCATATTATTTAATATTAGAAGAAAAGCCTGTCTATTGCACTAGTATTTAATGATAAGAATGTTGGCAACGTGACAACCAAGTCTTTTAACAGGAAAAGTTAGCAAGTTTAGCTTGCTAGCCAATCCTGTTTTGCTCCACGTTTCTGACTTACCACGTTGAATGTCTAACTTTGTTTCCCGGACATAGTCGTCCGGGTTCCTAGAAAGGACTTTAACTTTCATTTAGGCGCTCTTGAAAAAAGAGTACACTTTCAAAATGTTGAAATAATTTTAAAATATCATCAGATACGGGTTTGTACGTCCACTCGTGTTGTTGAAGAGGAAAAGACGCGTTGCATTGTGGGTTCTCAAGTCCTCCAGGTTAAGTTCACTGCGCGTCTATGACCGGAAATACAGCAAATTGGCTTTCAAACTAAACAAAAGGTGACGGAAACTTTGCTCTAACTAATAAAAATAAAATAACATAAAACTAATACTAAATTACATATTTTTTAAAATCTACATAACATAAAATAAGGCCCGTCCTATGTCTAAATTATTTGGAAACTGTAGATTTAGAAAGCTCAATCATGGGTTTAATAAAGCTCTAGGGCCATCTAGCGATAGCTAGCAGGTTGACACGTTTTTAACATGAATATTGTGTGGGTATTTGCGAGAAACCAATCAAGGGCAAATTAAATTAAGAGTTTGCCCTCATAGTTCGGTATAAAAATGTGTGTGTGACAGTAAGCTTGAATTAGGGAAATGTGTTGATTAGATCTATAACAAAATGTTGTAGACATAAAGTTAAATAAGTATATACCTTACGGTGATATTTGCACAATTGATGTCAAATCATCATACATTTAGTTGAAGATTTAATAATGAGCACTTGAATGAGCATTTTTACGAATTTGTCCGAGGTTTGTTTTATTTAATTTATATTTTTATCAGTGACTCTATTTCTATCATAACACTATCTAAAAAACATTGTCCTAGCTCCAATACGCTAGTCTTGATTTATTCAGTTATGCAAAAATAACATGTTTTACTTAAATTCGTAAATGTGTGCTTTAACTTATAACGCTTAACGCTATTTATAAACGTATTACTCCGATATAATAGATACTCGTTTTATTTATTTTATTTTGAAGGGTTTAACCGGAAGCTCTGGCAATTACTGTAGTATTACTGTTTTGTAATGCAACAAGGTCGTGCTATGTGCGGCTGTCTATCGGATCCCCGCATGTCAGAAACGTGGGTCCACGTAAGCGTGTGGTGAAAATGTGGAAGCGAGACTTTTAATGATTGTTTGGAAATTTGAATTTGAAATGTTATTTTCTGAAATTTTTACTTTCTGTTGTTAAACCGTGTAAAAAACTGCTAGCTAATAAAAGCTAGCTAAGTTAATTACCAATGTAAACATGAGCTCGGCTCCGAATCACACCGTTGATGAAACAGGACTGTCCAACACAACCGTCCCTGCTGTCACGTTATGTGGACATGCCCAACAGCTCTTCAGCCATGTGAAGATAGAGAACCTGATCGCAGGACTCAGTGGTGGAGTGGTGTCAACTCTGGTGCTCCATCCTCTGGACTTGGTCAAAATCAGGTTTGCAGGTACAGTAGGGGGTTATACATGTACACTTTATGTGAACAACATATTGAACAAATCATGCAGCTTAAAGATGAATGACATGTTGTACATGGCTGCTGTGTCTATGACAGTAGTCACTGCGATAAATGTATTATGGTGTTTGGAGAATGTCTATTTTTGGTAATTACATATATGGTTTATGCCATAAACCATATATGGTGAATGAGGAGACCTGGTTGCAACAGTCCATCTCTCATGACACGATGATTTTGCTTTGCAGTGAATGATGGTTTGGAATTACGACCAAAATACAGCGGCCTGATTCACTGTGTGAGAAGTGTGTGGCGGCAGGAGGGACTGAGAGGACTGTACCAAGGAGTCACACCAAATGTTTGGGGTGCTGGAGCATCATGGGGGCTCTACTTCTTATTGTATGTACAGTACAACCACCCCTATAAATTCTATATATCTGCATTTTTCTCTTCTACTGACAAACTTTAGATGAAGTTTTGGCTCCTTCTCACATTTTTAAACCAAATTTATTCACAGTTACAATGCAATCAAAGGGTACAGAGTCGAAGGCAGACAAACGGAGCTGAGTGCCACAGAACACCTGGTGTCTGCCGCTGAAGCAGGTTAGTCCTGTGTTTATCTGTGTACTATTGATTTGCTTTGCAAGCGTGCACACATATACGCACCCGTTCATTCACACACTTAGCTCAAAGTCATGACAACAACAGTAAGACTATACTACTCTGGGTCTGCTTTGACTGGTTGGCGATAAGAATACAACCTCTGGGGTCATTGCAGTTCACCAGGCTTCAGTCAGCAGAGTTCATTTACCTTAAATGAATTGAGTTAGGAAGTATTCTGAGCATGATTACCAAACTTAAATGTGCTTAAATACACAAAACACAAATATATAATTTTTACTTATAAATACATATGACCAACTTTACTTACTATTTGATGTATAATTTAAACAATTATTATTACTATTGTTTTGTGAACTTTATAATGTATTTAAACCATTATGAGTCTTGTTTTGTTTTTTTTCTAGGGATTCTTACACTCACACTAACCAACCCCATCTGGGTCACCAAGACTCGGCTGGTGCTTCAGTACGAGACTGGCCCAGGTGGTAAACAGTACAAAGGGATGCTTGATGCTCTGGTGAAGATCTACCGCCACGAGGGAGTACCTGGACTCTACAAGGTTAGACACACATTGTATTTGGAACATTTATGTCCTAGAAAAAGAAATACATGTTTTGTCAAATGTTAGCTCATATCTGAATGAGTAATCATTGGACTTCTTGCTGAAAGCAAACGTTTGGCAATGGCGTTGACTTAATTCACCACTAGAGGGCACTGCTTCAGTACTGTTAGAGCTGACGGTGATATTTTTCATTTTACAGGGCTATGTTCCTGGACTGTTTGGAACTTCACATGGAGCTCTACAGTTCATGGCTTATGAAGAGCTCAAGAGAGACTACAACAAATATAGGGGAGTGCCTTCAGATGCAAAATTGGTGAGTCAAAAACCCCTAGACAAGACACAGGGAACACGGGTACCTTGTGTTCAAATGCAAACAACAGGGTCTACATTGGGCTGAATGCACAAGTGTTAACGTGCAGCATCACCTGTCCTTCTCTGCTGTGGCGTCGTCATCTGTTTTTGACTACAGAATCCAATGGAGTACATATCAATGGCGGCGTTATCCAAAATATTTGCAGTGGCGACAACATACCCGTATCAGGTTGTGCGTGCTCGTCTGCAAGATCAACACAATACGTACAACGGAGTGATTGACGTCATGAGACGCACATGGAGGTAGGATGTTGTGACAGGTGTTTTTATATCTGTTTTCTGTGTTCAGTTCATAATTGATTATTTACACCTTCTCTGCAGGAATGAAGGAGCCTTTGGATTCTACAAAGGAATTGTGCCTAATTTGATCCGTGTCACTCCTGCTTGCTGCATCACCTTTGTGGTTTATGAATATTTGTCTGAATTTTTACGGGAACTAAAATAAAGTGGACTTGAAGGAGCAACCACATTGAGACATAGGTATTCATGAGCATCAAACTGGACTTTACCGGTGCATGGAAAAAACATGAATACGCACTCTGACGATTTTGACGGCAGTTTCTCACCGAACTTCCTTGTGCACAAATTGTAAATTTTTAACCTCAGTGATCACAGGGGAGACAGACTGTTGTATTTCTAAATAGATTTAATGCTATGTGATGAATTATGGTTTCCTTTTTTAAAGTGTGATGAGTTATATATTTAACCGTATAGCTTTGTTTAGTTTTTTTATGTTTTCTATCAGGAGGACAGAACACATCCTGGGGTATTTAAAGTCAGTAACATTCTTGATTTGTCTCAGGAAACCATAGTTGTAGTGTGAGTCCTTTAAATTATTGATGTGCAGAGAGAAAAACCTGTGTATTCATGGTAACAAATCATCAGGTCAGTTAAAGTACATTTAACAATGTCACCTTTTCCCCACAGATGTCAAACTGATGGTCATAAAATCCATACTGCTTTACCTCCACTGTCCCCTGTCTGATTTGTGGACATTTATTAACTTGTACGTCATCTGTATGTCATTTACTATAATTTCTACAAAGTCTATAGTCTCAGATAAGTTGCAATATTAACAAGAACACAATGATTTTTTTTTATGAATTATAATTATGACAACAGATATGCATATAAAATTAATGAACTTTGAACAACTTTGTATTTCATAGTAAACAACACTTACTTTCGTGATCCCAAACATAACTTTCATGAATTGCATTTCAAACTACTAAAAGTAGTCGCAGTGATGCCAAACGTATAGAAAAACAGACATCTTTATTATCAAGTATATTGTAACAACAGACAGGACGCAAGAATAAGTACTTTAAAATGTCAATGTCTCGTCGCAGCGTCTGGTGATTAAGTCACTGAATTGTAACAGTCGCCATAAGCTGAAAAGCTACAGTACAATGTTTATTTCCACTCAACAGAATGAAACAATAAAAAAATGTTTGTAACACTGTAATCATGTATAAAGAAATAAAAATAAAAATAGAACGTTCAAGCTACCATCAGTGATGCTGCCACGCCTCAGCAAAAACCACACCTGATCATTTTGGATGGTGGTATAACATGCTCTTATCTTCTTCTACCAACACCACTTCCTTTTTTTATTTAGGCAGTTCCTCTATGATAATCCTGGAAACTGAGTTCCAGCCTGTAGATGCGTCACCTCTGGGGTAGTCGGCGCAGGTCCCCACCCACACGGCCACATCCACCAACCCTGCTTTAACGCCCTCACACAGGCCTTCAACTAGAGCAGGAAGGAAAAGGAGATGACAGTGCAAAATTTAGTAAACATGTCTCCACCAATAATTGTCTGCTGTGGTGTAGCCATTAAAAAAACCCTAATTGGACGGAGGCTTTAAAGTTTGGAGACTGTTGACAAGGGCTTCCAGGATTCCTGGTGATTAAATAACCACATTAAAGCAGAGTGTGTCCGTAAAAACGTTTGCCTGGAAAGATCATCTGATACCACCGTCTAATAAAGATGGCCATCAAGTTTCTACTCTCAGCTGCCAATCAGTTCCACTGGCTACAGAGACACAGTTTGCCTCGTTCTTGACTGAATGACAAAATAAGACTCTCCTAAATGTTGCCATCAGCCTCCTGTCTGCTCTATCTAGTTATGGATGAAGACAGGGGTTTGATTAGGCTAAGGTGGGGGGTGAGGGACGGAGGAGGGGGTGAGACAGGAGGTTGGCCTAACTATTTTAATTGAATGGTGTAACAAAATAGCAGCACAAACCTAGATGTGTGGGTGTGTGTGTGTGTGTGTGTGTGCAGTTAACAAAGCTGAGAGAATAAAAATGCAATCATTTACTTATGATGTGGTAAGTAAAATATGTTCATGTTTGTTGGTAGTAAATGAGCAAAATGATGCGTTAGTGTGTCATTTTTTGGAGTGAACAGTGGTAACATCATAATCTAGAAAATAGAAACCTGGGAAACATAGCGAATATAAACAAAGCCGTCTTCTACCTATAGCAGCCTATATATAGTTTGTTTCAACCATGTGCGTTGAACAATGGAACCAGACTTTCTTAATAAATGTATGGGAGCTGGACGTATGAATCGAGGACCCCTGTATTCCTAATTATAACATGATAAATGATAAAACACAAAGTATGAAGGGAATAAGTGATCAAAAAGATTCTTATTCACTGATTAACTTAAAAAACAACTTTCCACTCCAGAAAATGCTAACTGGGTTAATATTTAGGTGAACAGGAGGTTTGATGATAAAACCTAAAATTAATAAGTAACTACTTGTGTAACATCCAACATTACAGTCATACTGTTGTGCTGGTTTATTAAATGCACCACCATGACTACTGTTTCTACTTTACTGCTAATGGTTTTCACATTTTGACTCCTCTACCAAACAATAGCACATGGTTCTTACCTGAGGACGTTCTGTGAATGTTGATGGTTGAGTTCAGCTCTGGACTGCCCTGGTCCAGGTAGATAATTGATTCTACAGGCAGGGGGCCTGTACACTCTGCTCCATTGAAGGTGAAGTACCATCTCTGACAGCATGCATTCTTACACTTGAGTCTCAGGGAGCCACTGAAGAGGACTCTGAGGGCGCTGTCTGAACGCATCTTGGTGAACGTACAGTCCTGCAACACAACACAAGGTAATTGTTCTACTCACATGAACAGAAGGACGCTTAAAGGGGTGGAGACAACCTGTATTCTGTAAAGGTGTAGAAAATAGTTATTCTGTAATCCAGAAGGGGGCGTTTCATCACATCACAACTTCAATAAACACCTCTTATTTGATTAGCACGTCAGTGAGTTAACTTATTGTCTTGCTGTTGGCAAGTAGAGAAAAAAAGGGACAGTAGTGCGCCAATGTGTTGTTTTTATTTATCAGCATATTTGCCTGATACCACAATGGCAGAACCTCAAATATGCATTTTGTAGTTCCACAGAACACAGGGATAAAACAATGTTATGTTCCCTAACATCTTCAGAGGTCATAGTAAATTGATCGCCCTTAAATTTAAGGGGCAAAGAGTACTAGTGAGTACTAGCAGAGTGGAGAAAAATCTACTTGAAGTTAATACTCACAGCCACTTTACCCAGGTCAATCCCATAGTTCAGAGAGTTCCAGGCACACTGCTTGTAGTTTGGCCTCCAGGGTTCCTCGAAGACCTCGCTAATGCACTCGCCCTTCTCACCTTTATTCCCATCACGGCCAGGGATGCCTGGTGTCCCTGGAATGCCGTTGGCCCCTGGGTTACCGTCCCTGCCTGGAGTGCCTGCTGGTCCCTGTAAACAGCTGCCATACTGAAAAACAAACAAAGAATGAAACAATAAAGATGAGACTACTAGAAGTATGAAAAAGCCACTTGACTAAATTAGCAATGTCCAAGTTAGGCCTATCTTAATGTTTAGACCTTTGTTTTACTTTTGTTTATTAAATCTTTGTTCGGGCTCCATGCGTCACAAACAGCTGCAACCGCCATTCATGCAACAGTCACCGAAAAGAAACCAAAGAGCAGCAAATTGATAAGTGATTTGACCAAAATGCACTTCTACTGGTGATGGAAGATGTGATCCAAACTCTAAGGCCTTAAATGTTCAACAAATGACAGAGTGCATTAATGAGGAACTGAAAGCTCGACAGGAATCTAAATCGGTAGCTGTCTAGACCCCAGATCTGGTTATGATTCATTATCCTGCTAAATGTCCTGCTATGTTTAAACAGTTACTCAAGCTGACTCAAAGACCCACAGACACACAGGAGACGGGGGAGCTGGCCAAAGCTTACCACGCAGCGAGGCAGACACAATGAACATCTAAACAACTATGTGCAGCATGTTCTACAAAGACACATTGTGACCAACAGATTGCAGCGTGTAGATCGGCTGTTGGAGCTGTTTTTAGTTGGAGCTGAGGTTTTTAAATTTGGTGAGGTGATTTGTGAGCATGTTGTTCTCATTCATTTAGGCAGAGCAGACATAAACTGACACGGAGAAGTGCGTCCTCGCCCATGGGCTTGTTTTTGTTTTGGTAAGTCTTTTTCTTGTTGGCCTTTTAAAAGGCATACAGCAGAGAGAGCTATTGGAGGCACATGGCCAAAAGGCAAGAGATAAAAGGAGTCCAAAGGAAAGAGGAAACACAGAGACACTCCTCCAGTTTCAGCATCTAAGTTACTGAGGTTAGGTTAAAAAAGAAAAATCAGTTTTTAACCATGTGAGAATGAAAACATTGGCTAAGCAGGAAGAATTGCTGCGTTTTAACATCAGATGCGGTGGAGCAGCTGGTCCAGAGTCTGTTTTAGCCATTTAGTGACTTTGCTGGAACCATGTGAAGATGTGAGGTCTGACATCATCTCTGCTGGAAACTGACTGCGACTGGAAGTTGGTATGCAACATTAACACACCGTCTCACATCTTGGCAAATAGTCGGGAAAATGTGCAACTGTCGCAAACTGGAGGTCCGTTTGGTTGCCATTGCCCAGGAAATGGTTCTGTTTTAATAACCGCTGGAAAAGTTTGGAGACGTTTCAAAGCAGACTACTGAATGGAATCTCTGTCCACTTGGCTGCACAGCTGACTTTTCTATTAGCTCCCAGCCGTCTGTTTCAGTTGCGGTGCTGCCTGCCTGAAAGAATTAGCCTGCAGCCCGGCTGAACATTAGTAGCACACAGACCATTACAGTAACTGAAGCATAAAGGCAGAGTTCGCCCCACAAAGTTCTGAGGAATCAGCCACAGTTCATGCGTTTAGTCAAAACCAGAGTGAGGACAGAGACACTCCTCCAACATGCAGAAGCACTGATTTTCATGCACTTTTTTTTCATGGAGAGGTCTTCAGACTCAGAGGATGTCGGGGAATCACATTGGAAATTACCTTAAATCTTAAAAAAGTAGATTCTTCGTCTTCAGAGTGTTTAGTACAGTTGGGCTTTTCTGCATCATTTCCACCAGCGCACTACATACAGATGGTGACAGAGAAAGATGCTATAGGGCATATCCCTCAAGTGTGGAAGAAGACAGTGGGGCATCTGTTCAGTCTCAGTGGGGGTTGCAGACCGAACGGGGGTGGGGGGTGTCCACAGAGTCCCCGAGAAAATAAACCTGACTCCAATCTGTGTCCAGTCTTTTCCTTCACTCACTACTTGTAGCTCAGGTTATATAATTTTGCAAAAACGTTAATGTGGCAACTGTGGACTTTAGAAAAATTTTAATATAAAAATACTTGGAATGTAAATTATTTTCGCACTCAATTTGTTTTTGTTTAGGTTAACATTCAGAGAGATAACACAGAACAAAGACGTGCAGACTCAGACTACTGATCTCTAACTTCCTGTTAGAGATTTTTTTTCTCTAGTGATCACACGTTAAATAATAATAAAAACATTTTACCAAACAACTCTTACCGTAAAGATTGTATGACCATTTTAATAATGTGTAATTATTACAATCATTAATCAACGTAAAAGTTTTGAGAAAGTCTCTTAAGTGTAGTCATGGTGCGTTTAGGTACCCGCTGTGAGAACACAGTTAATTAACTTCTTAACTCGTGTAAATGATCACAAAAGGTATCCCGGTTGCAGTAATGCGGGTGATTTTGGCCTAATTAAAATGATCTTACCTTATCAGCATCGGGATCCTTTCGGTATCCTCTGTTTCTCACCTTTTCCACGCCATACAGAGGCAAGGCCAAGCAGACGAGCAGCAGCAGACGACCAACGACAGGAGACATCATCATCACCATCCAAGGACGGAGACAAGGAGAGACTGTGTGGCGACGGTTTGACTCCAACAGCTGCCAGCTTTACTCCAGAGGAGGCAGGACGAGAGGGAAGGAGCCGGAGAAACATCTGTGGGAGGAACAAGAAAATCCCTCTGAGATTTAAAGGCGTGTCTATTTAAAAGTAATTACTATAATTTTATATACTTGTGAAATAACTATTTGTTTTTATTATAACACTATAAATGATCGTAAAAAATAAAAAAGAATCCCAAAGTATGAACTATTTTATCAGGCAAATGATTTATGTCTTTAAAAGCCTGGTCACCGTTATCTGTTGCTCTTCAGTAGGAATGGGTTAACATTCTTACACATTGTCAGGATAATGTGTGGATTTCTTCAGTCAAAAGCAGTTTGGTGCAAATTTCTCTTAAAATTTGGCTTGTCCTTTGTATAACAGAAAAAAAAAAGAAAAGAAGGGGAAGAAAAACACACGGTATTTCCCAAGAGTTCTTTTGTTTTATTTATTTACCAAAATGGAATAACAAAGGTAAAAAAACGTGTAAAAGAGAGAATACATTTAAAAACAGTTCATAAAAAGGTTTTGAAAGTGAGAACTGTTTTCTTTGACTTTAACTCACACTAACTATACTTGGTTTAAGAATAGATTTAGGAGCGAGGCATTCCATAAAGCTGCGTCTAAGAGGAGATCCACCCTCAGACAATAAAACCCTCTGGTACAGATCATTTTATAGTTTTAATCAAAATCAACTCACCTTTTCATATACGACAATGATAAAAAATACAGTAGAAACGGACTGACAGTGTACTCTTACTCATTTATTGAGTGTTTCCGGACCTGCCATTTGACTCCCAAGTATAAAAGTTGAAGGTAGCTGAAAGAATCGATCACTTATACAATGAAAAAGAACAGCGTAACGTAGCCTTTAATAAACTACAGGTGAATGAGAAAAAATCTTCAAAGAGTGAAGATGGTCTGTAACCCAGATGTTATATAAACAAAAGAAAGCTCTGAAAATAGCTTTTTTTCCAATTGTTCTTTGACTATTCATACTTTTTAAGATAAGTGGTTTGTGCTTCGGTCTAGTGAAAAGTGCAAAGACGATTTGTGAAGTTTTCTTATCTTATTTTTTTCAGACCGTTAGACTTTGTGAACAACAGAAACACAGGTAGACATCACATGTGCACAACATATGTCTGTTCTGCCTGAAGGAAAAGTAATTCCAAATTCCTTGAGGAAAACAATAGGGCTAAACTACATTACCTAAATCCACAGGATGCTTCTTTGTTCTTTAGAAAACACAAACTAGAAGTAAACATGAAATGAAAACAGAAAAGGTAAAAAATAAAAAAAAATCAAGTTTAATTCTAAACCTCTTTATAAGGAGGAAACATTCAAAGATTTTTTTAACCACAGAGAGACCAGTGTCACTCCTAGAAATAAACTCAGTGTAGCGACTATAATCCAGTCAAAAGGACTGTCTAAAAAATATTTACACAAATAGTTCTTGTGCATGCATATTACGCTCCTGGATGACTATTCTATAGAACAAAAGATTTAATGCTACAAAAATAAACTGCATATGAGTGGTTGGGCCAAAGCTGTGCTGCAGCAACATTTAGGTATAAGGTTAAAGCTCATTAAAGCTGCTCCAAGATATGAAGGTTTGAAATACTCAAGGCAACATTCTCCCAACAAACATGCACTGGATATAAAGCAACCACTGTGAACAACAACCCAAAGTAGATGAGACAAACAGCATTACATGTGACTAGTTTTAGAATTTTAGCAACTGTTGTCCTTTGTGTCACCGCTCTCCTCAGGCACCAGTTGGTGGATGGAGTCTGGGATCATGCTGGTGCTGTGGGACAGGTTCATAGCTGGATGCTGCTGACCAGTAGGAACCTGCCTGACCGCTGACAGCTCACTCCTTGGGCTCAACCTAAGTTAGAAGTACACATGACAGGTTATACGTGTATGCTAGTGTTGTCCTGGGACTATTTTGGTTTAATTTGAGTGCATACTAATACAGAGTGCTGTCATCGACACTTCTTTTGGTGAATAAGCAACTAAATTGAAAGTAGTGTTTTTTTCTGTATTTATTAGTAAACCAATTTCACTGGAGTTATACTTTTTTAATGTTTAAAAAAACACAACGTTGTTTAAATACACTGCTTAAATTGGTCATATTGTAACAAAACAACACTTTTTGTGGAGCCTTTTTCCAGCTATCAGTCTTTAGATTTGCATTGTTTTATGTAGAACAGTAATGTAAACAATGTATACAACTTTCGAGTTGTCCACATCTGTGGGCCGTGGTCCACAAAATATCATTTTTACATGGGATGTCTCTCCTGACGCAACACTTCTACCGGGGTTGGGCTTTGGGGACCAGGTGGATTTGAACCTGGGACCTTTTGATGAACAGGGGAGAATTCTACTATTGTGTAACACTGGTCCATTTCCTCTTCAATCATGGTTCAAATGTATTTTTCTGCATATATCAGAAATGTGCCCACTTGTCTGGTAGAGTTTATCGTTGTAGTTGTAATTATTACAGAACAAACAAAAATTAAAATCTCTAAAATGATTGTAACTAGAAAGCAGTCAGATGAGGATCACTTACCTCTGGTCTGGCTGCACATTTTCTGAATGGCTGCTGACCTTACTGGAGCTCCCACCTTTGCTGCGTTTCTCACCCCTCTCCTTGTCTCCTCTCCTGGAGGTTCGGCTGGAGGTGCCCCTCTCCATGTGTTCCCTGGCCGAAGTCTCAGACATAGAACCCTGTATATGTGGGTCATGGTTTCCCTGGGCAGAGGTTCCTTGATTAGGGTGGTGGGCACCAGCGGCAGCATTGGCGGGAGCAGCACCTGTGCTTGTGCCCATGGACTTGGAGATGACCTTGAGCTTGTGGGAACTGTGTTTGTAGTGCTTCTTTTTGTGCTGTACACGGCTGTTGTGCTTGAGGAAGAACTCGCACGACTCCTGGAGTACGCGGCGGCTCTCGCTGATGGGACTGAAAGTTATGACACAAATTTAGTTTTTACTCAATATTCATCATGGATTTAAAATGACTGAAAATTGACCTTACTCTCTCTTATGAGTCCTGTTGAAGAAGTAAGACCACTCTGAGCAGGTTTTCTTGCTGCTGACCCAAAACACTGCTGATATTCCCACTATCAGGGTCATTAGATATTTCACCAAAAACAGAGAGAGGTCAGGACGATCATTTTCGGTTGTCTGAAACAAAGAAAGATGTTTCTGTGGGTTTGTGTACTGTAAGTGTATAAATAATGTAACTAGACATGAAACACATTTCAAATGCTGATTCAATTTTCAAATGAAGCCAAAGCCTTTTCAACCTTGAAGGCTTTTTATTCATTCTGCCCATTTTTTATACCAAACAGTACATTGGCTTTTATTTAGTAAAGTCTATGACATTTATTCAAAGGTTGGGTCAACTAGATACAGATAGTTACTGAGGCTGTTTTAATCTTGTTCCTGATTTTTAGTCTTTATAATTTATTATAGCTGTCTTTAAAGGTCATAACAAGTCCTGTCAATGGAAAATATGTAAGATATGTGCTAAGGTACTTTTTGCATAAAGATGCCACTGTTAATATTCAACACAGCCATGGTGAAAGAAAGATTTAAATCCAGTGTTTGAAATGGAAGTCACATACCACTGTCAGCCTCAGCCATCACAAGGAAAGTCAAAACCAGTCAAATTGACTATACTTCTACAAAAATGTGGCTCAGATCTCAGTGTTGTCTGTGTGAAGCCAAAGAAATACCAGAGAAGATGGATATTGTTTTTCTCTATCTTTCCTTTTAACAAATTATTTTCTCCCAGAGCTGCTGGGGAAGCTATTGTAGTTATATGTCATATAAGGTGGTGATAAATGCTGTGAAGCATATGGAATATTATTTTGAACATGTTATACCACAAATGTTGTCTCGGTAATGTTGAACAAAAAACGTATTTTCCTTACGGGTGACAAAAATGCACAGGTACCTTGTAAGAACAGGGAATGCTGTACTCCTGGCAGCGGTCGTTGATCCAGGTGGTCTCCCAGGTGTGGCGGTGACTCTGTTCGTAAGTGTAGCAAGCTAATAACGTAACCAGAGGGACAAGATAGAGGCAGCTGAAAATGCCAATGCGGATCATAAACTTTTTCAGCTTCTCCTGGTTGCGCTCGTCATGCTGGATGACCTGCCTCACATGGTTAAGAGAAACGATTCCCGCCAGGATGAGGAAGAGGCCGACTATCACCCCGACACACAGTGGAGCCAGAACAAATTGTCGAAGTACATCCAAATCATAAAGTCCCACAAAACAAACTCCACTGATGTTGTCTCCTTCTACTTTGTTGAGAGCAAGCAGCATGACAGTTAGAGCCCCGGGGATCCCCCAGGCAGCAGAGTGAAACCACACCTATAGACGGAGAAAAGAAGCTCTGTTTTTCTGTGTTTTCTTATTCTACTTTTTTCTTTAACAATTTTTAATTCTTTCTTTCTAAAAAAAATAATCAATAACTCACCGCTTTTTTCTCTATGGCCTCGCAGCTCCACTTGGGCCCAGCTGCCAGGAACCAGGTGATGGTTAGGATGACCCACCAGACGATACCAGCAATAGAGAAAAAATAAAGCAGCATGAAAAGCAAAGTGCACCCTTTGCTTTGAGTCCCAAGCACAACTGTATCCACACCTGAGGGATGTGCTGCCTTGGTACAGGCAGCGTTGTTCCCCAATAAGAAGCCAATGAAATATATGAGTGAGACAAAGCTGTAACAGACCGCATAAAATATTATGGGTCGTTCAGGGTAGCGGAAACGTTTTACATCTATGAGAAAAGTTAGAAATGTAAAAAGAGTGGCGCCCAGGCAGATGATGGAGCACACGCCGATAAAGCTTTTAGCAAATTCAATGTCGTGGGGTTTGAAATACATGTTGGCGCAGGGTGGAGCACAGTCTGGGGCACCCAGGAATGACGACCCCTGGTCTGGTTTGGTTTTTAACTGCAGAGGGCACCAAAAGCCAAGGTCCCTCATGACCGATGAGGAGGATGACATGGTTGTGGTTACAGAAAGACCTGGTCCATCAGGGAAGCTACATGGGTGCAATCTAGAAAATAAGAGATATGAATATGCATATGAAAGAATATGAGACCATAGGTTTAACAGAAATAATTATGTAGATGATGTAGAATGTAGAGGAAAATCTCTTTACTTGTCACACTGCAGCTCAGGGGGCCATGTGATGCCAAAGACACGAATATTCTCTTCACAGTCAGAAAGAACTGCCTCGCACTGTTCTCGACAAGGACGAATCACTTTGTTATCCTCGGTGCATGCTGGAACAAACGCTTGACAGAGAAAGTGGTGGACGTCTGGTGAGCAGTGCAGGTTTGCTAAGGGCATAAACGGCTGTGGATGGAGAGAAAAGTCTGTAAATCAGTGGATGACACAGGCAGCAAGACGTTTCATAACATTGTTTTGACAGCAAAGTAGCATTTATTCATCACACTGTGAAAGTGTGTAACGTGAAACCACACGTGTTGAAACGGGCTGAAGAGTAGCTTGTTTAAGGTATGTTAATTTCATTTTGTTTCAATGCCACCACGCTCAACAACACACAAAAGAGCCCATTCACGAGAGGGAGCGATAATCTTCCTCTCAACACAGTGGTCAAAACTTATGAGAGGGCAAGGAGGAGGCAGGGGTGTGTATAGGTGAAAGGAAACAAGTGTGTGGATATTTCACAATACACAACAGGTCAAAAAAGCTAGAATGTCCAAAGCAATTTATAGGTTAAAATGTTGCCCAGTAGTCACTGTTAAAGTCACTCTACTGGCTATGTGTAGTATAATAATATTATGGGATACACAGCTAACAGTTGCAATTAAAAATGTGCAAATCATATACAAAAATATGATCTGCACACAGCTTTCTATATTATCATTAACTTTTCAGCCAATGGACATTGTGTAAGCTAACCTGGTCATATAAGTGCTGTTGAGGGTCTTTAGAGACTTTTCCAATTCTAGCGTGCAGACAGATTAATGCGAGTCTACACTGCCAATATTTGTACACAAAATATTCACATACCCTCCAGCACCTTCAGCTATTCAATGTGTCTTTCTTTTTTGTCTTCAAAAATCCAGTATGGCAGTATTCCCATTTCTGTGCCCTGGACTTGCCTCCTCTGACAGTACATATCCTTGTTCCTCGCCTGTGGAGGTCCTGGACTCCTTGTCAATGTGATCCCCTTGCACAACAATCTGACCTTTATTTGGTTTACAGCAGCCCTACTGTAAAAACTGCCCTAGTTTCAGAAACCTCTGGGTTAGCAATACAAGATGAGTTTATTTGGTTTTAAAGTCAAAGTCCTCTGCAAAAATGTAATGCCAAAAACAGCAACTCTTTCTTTACTCTGCAAATGTTTATTTTTTCTATTTCCATAACTCATACACAGAGGTGGAGCCTGGAACAGTTAAACCCCATCAGGAAATCCTGCTGATAGCCTTGTTAAGTAAGGTTCACAGTCTCCTTGTTTTTAAAACTTGTGTTTTCTCATAAATCACAGCAGACATGTAAAGAGCTATGTGTGGTATGTGTCATTGTATAAGGGTTACAGAGTGTCACTCTGCCATCTGAGAGTCAGGACCTTAAAGGTAAGAGTCAGCGCATGGGGTAAAAAATGAGTGAGAGAATAGTGGCTGTGGTATGCAGGGCAGGCTTTGTATAGGCCTGGGTGTGTCCCTCCCCCTTCCTGCACAAATCAAAGGCTTCTCACAACAAAGTTGATGAAGTTGCCAGTGGCAAGGTTGCTGTGAAATGAGAAGCCTATACATCTTTGCCAGATGCAACACAAAAGATTTCTTCCACAGATCAGTGTTCAGGCTCAGTGCTCCAACACCGAACGGCTGTAACTGAAACCCAGGCCTGCAGGAGAACTGAGCCACAGGATGCAAAAGAGACAGAGTTCATTACTGAACCCTCTGTGATGACTCATGTATCAAAAACATGCGTCTATCTAAGGGCAGAAAGAGTGAGGCAATAAAAAGGCGGTGTCATAAAGGAGATGACCTCTTGTTTAAAAAAAGAAAGTAGAATTTCACTTGATGTGAAAATCTCTTTTGACATGACACATCACTGACAAAACACCACCTGCAAACAAACACAGCAAAAGTCATCCAGGACCGTTGACTCATATGCTCATATGCAATAACACTAGTAGTTTTAACCCATTTGTTTTGTTCCAGGAAATAGGCCATGTAACACAAGCACAGTGAAGTGGCTGATGTTAAATTGTGTTGATAAGAAACAATCAGGAAAAAAAAAAAACTAGTGTCACTAGTAACAAAAAATAGTGTCAGTAGAAATGTGATTTTAACTGACACACCCAATGGGGAAACTAAAAGTCAAAACCAAGAATTTACCAAACCAAGTTCATTTTCATATTATTGCACAGGTCCAAACATTAGCCCAGCACAGCATAGGATAACAACTATGTGAGAACTCACCTCCATATGACTTGCTGCAATATCCTGATCATAGTGCTCCATCATGTTTGGAAAGAAGGTCATGTTGTAGGACATACCCAAACACCGATGCACTCTAATGGGCTCACAGGTAAAGAGGCTGTGAGCAGAGCAGCTTCCCACCCATACCAGTACCAGACACACACACAGTGGTCCTGGCATCAGCATTGTAACAAATGTGTAGGAGACAGAGAGTGTATTTGTGCCTGTGTTTTGTATAAACTAGCACAGATCCCTTTTTGGCTCAGTCTAGGGATATCTTGGACCAAATGTTGAATTCCCCTGGCTCACACTGTTATCCACATTTCACTCCGCCTGGGGACATCTCAGCAGAGACGGTAGGTGTTGCAGCAGGTACAATTTTCCCATCAGGCCCCTGTCAGCTTGTGCCTCTGAGTGACAGATAGGAATCCCACATCCCTGAAATGAAAGTAATTACACTGTATTAGATTTACACTTTCAACTAAACAAGGACACAGAGGTTTAGGGCTATGATCAACAAAAATCACCACAAAATATTATCCAAGTAGCTTTTGTAGCTAGTTGTTATTGCATTCCCAATAGAATATCGTACTCTTACTGATGTACGGTATGGACTTGAAGCCCAATCATCATAAAAGGTCCAACATACATCATGAACAACCACCACCCAAATAATAATACAAAGCATCCTTAAGGGTTCCTTGAGTTCCCAACACTGCAGAGAACAGGACTGTTTACAGACACAGCACAGGAGTTAGAATAGTGGGACCAAAACCCAGTCAGTCCCTGACATGGGTGTAAGACTGCAAAATAGTGTGCATTTACTGGGGTGGAGAAAGCTAAAGATCAGTGGAATGAGTCCGGGCTTGTTGATGCACATTAAATTTCACATGAAAGTATTAGTGTTTTTACATGCACACCTGCATTAGTGGCTATGAATCTTGGATGTCTGACAGGGTGTTAATACTTCACACCAAACACAAAGGATTCTTGTCAGTAGGTGTATCTCAACTTCCTTTCAGATAAATAAAGATATTTTGACATGATTTTATATGAAAAACTTCAGTTGCTTGTTAATAATTAACTGAGCCGTATATATCATGTCAATGACAAGAAGGTAGAGAAAATTAGAATTCAAATGACATGTTTTCAGACTTTCAGTAATTCTTTTTTTTTTAAACTTGGATTGGATAAATAGTTTGGATTCTAATTCTTATATGGAAGATTTACTGTGTTTCTGAACATAAACCAGTCAGGAAGTAAAGGGAGAGGGCAATTTGTTTGGGATTTACAACAGATATTCTAAATGATTTTGATTCAAACAACAAATACAAACGTGTTCAACAGCAGGTTTGTCTTTAAACTGTGTCATCTGGTAGGGCTGCACATGATTTCTTGTTGATTTTATTCACACATGGAAAATGTGTATGTATGTGTAGGCAAGGAAACACAAACCATTTAGAAGTACCACACCCACCAAAGTTCCACATAAAATACCAGATTGGGAATAGAAATAGAAATTGTGTTGTTAAACAAATAGAGCAGCAGGATCAACAGTTCCGGGTGACTGCACACATATCACAATAGTGGTCATAGTTTAGAAAATCGACAATACTGTTTACACATGAAGAAACCACAGCTCCCACTGTGTTACGTTAACAAAATCACACTGACATAATTACACAGACATTGAAAGCGCATTTCAGTGAGTTAGCATACATTTCCAAATTAGCATTTTAGCAAAGATTAAAAAAAAACATACAGACTCGTGCTAAAGTAAAACATTGACCGACTTTTACAGGGCTAGCGCGAGTCTACTTTCTAAATTAACACTAAAGCCAGCTGACCAGGGACAGGGAAACATTTTTTCCCCGTAAACCATTCACCGACTTCAGAAACAAAGTACAGTACACCTCCCAGCCTCCGCTCGCAGCTCTGGAACCGGGGCCGAACAACTTCCAAAGCCCCAAAAAGTTAGAAATGTATGAAAAGAGAAACAAAAAGGTCACTCACCCGCTGCCAATGAGGTGTATTGTAGCAGCTGACAACATAGATACGTCGTCAATAGAAATCTGACAGTAATTTTCTGCCTTATTTCCTGCGATAGTGTGCCTAGGTTCCTATGTTGGCGTGTGTGAGTGCTTTCTGCTGTTAAACAATGCTGCCTTGACGGGCAGTCGGAAATGTAACAATTTCAATGAAAGTGTAGTTTGATTACAGCTATGTGAGTTTGTATTATTTTTCATTTTCAAAACAACGTTTTTCTATTGAAACCCTGAATAATACATTTAAATAAAGATTGTGTATTAATGTCCTAAACTATAACTAATGTTTCGTTGTTTCAAAGATGTTGTTTTATAAAGTCAGAGTTACGGGTAGCACTTGAATGCCGCGAACCTGCAATAACACACTGTATTGGTATTACACTTTTAGTTTTATAAAACATTATGAATGCAGGTTGTGTAAATTCAAATGACTATCAATGTGGTTTCTAAATCAAAAAAATACACCAATAAGTATTTTATAAATAGTGCATAGTCATTTTACTTGTAAACGTGTCCGCTGAACCTAAAGTGAGAATTGATTTTAATTTTAATTCATGTGTATTATCCGCATCGATTGATTATCGTATGGTTATTTTATTTTATTGAGGGTCTCCTGAACGTCATGAAACTTTACATGTTATGACTTCTATTGCACATCCGCACCTTTTCAATTATCCACCTGATGGCGCTGTATCCCGACTTTGTGTCCTCATTCATGTGACCGCCGTGTAGAGGCGGGGTTACATTGTAATAATTTAGGTGCTACAGTAGAACCCAATAAAGTATCCTATGACAGAGGAGCACATCTGCCTGCTGCTTAGCTCTGTCTTTCTCTGGCCGCGGATGTAAACGGGACTAGGCTCAGACATCAAATGTCATTTGTAACAGAAGAGGCGCCGCCGAAGGGGACGGGACTGACTCAGAAGACATCCACACGAGGTGGGTAAGCCTGTGGACCATTACCATATAAAAGAGGAAGGCGATCACAGCGATTTCGTGCAAATAAGAAAGAAGACCCGAACCGGAATTTGCCCGAGTGGACGATATGCGTGGTGCAACAGGATAACTGTGCAGTTACGAGGGATGTTCTGGTGTTGCTCTGTTCTGTTCAGCTCTGTTCTGTTCCGCTCGTCCCAACAGTTTGCGAATCGAGGCGCCGGCCTGTTGCTAGGAGACCTTTTGACAGCTGGGAGCTTTTTTGGAAGGTGACTGTTAATGCAGTTAATGGTGTGTGCTTCTCTGGCAACGCAAGCCTTTCTTCTCGTCCTAAGTTTCACCGGCGCGTTATGGTTTGTGCGTAAATCCTAATCGTCTCTGGTGCGTAAAAGACAACGCTGTACACTGAGGCTAACTCTAATCATGGGATTACAAAGTGAACAATGGCCTGATTATTATAATGATATTTGGAGATAGGTAGATTTCTATCTATCTATCTATCTATCTATCTATCTATCTATCTATCTATCTATCTATCTATCTATCTATCTATCTATCTATCACATTTTCCCTTTAGAACCACATATAATTTTACACGTGTGTCGGCCTGTGTCTTGTTTTGACTACTAAAGATACCTTTCCTCATGTAGATTAGTAGCTCATGTCTGTGGCAATGTGTCTGAAGGTCACTTGTGAACAGATCAATAACTACATCTTGCAGGGGGACTACACTCTATAACAGCCAGCAGTGCACTCAACCCTGCCTGTACACTTAAGGCGAATTGCACTGTCTTCCTTCTGTAATGAAGATATATGAGAAGTCCTCAGATGGCTTTTTGTACAGTGAGTGAGTGGTGTTCCAATCAGAACACCCTGAGCAGATCTGTGACTGTTGCTGCTGCTGCTGCTGCTGCTGCCACTGGAGAATGTGGGATATCAGATACAGGTTTGTTGCACATAATGTCAAGGTTGTAGCTACACCAGAAGGACTTGCTTGGTGTAATTTTGACTCCCAGCTTGTTTTGAGAATTGCTGAGCTGCTTATTCTTCCTCTCTTGCTGCCTGTGGCTAAAGGCTTTGAAATAACAGCTCTAAGAATCACCATAGTCAACAGCGCAGTGACACAGAGTAGAGAAGAGTCACTTTTTGGGCTTGATGAGTTTAGTCACTTCCCACTTGGCACAGTAGGTTGACACAGTTCCACTGGGTCAAATGGATGGACAGAGTAGAGGTGACATGCTGTTCTGTCCTGTCAGGCTGATGATGTGTGTGATCAGTGAAGAGACTGCAGTCCTCAGGAGCATCAAGCAGTAGCACTTTAACATCCATCTTCACCACCATTCCCTCTGCCTCAGTTCAGGGGCATGTCTTAGAACTCTGCCTCAGGTAGGTTGTGTCATTGTAGGTGCCTTCTGCACATGTTGTGTGTTGATGCCTTATTAAATCTGAGGCAGCAAAGCTAACACTCAAATCAAAGAGAAGTTGGCTTTTGAAAGTAATAGAAAAATCTTGCAGGAAAGCATTCACAGTGTGCAGACTTGACTTGTTTGCCCTAAAAATACACTCGTTAACGGGGGTTTGACAAGGGGAAAACAAAGTGGCAGAAGAAAGTTCTGTATTTGTGATGCCAAAGAATATACCTAACAGAAATCAGCTCCATCTGTCTCTGCGTATCTGTGTGTGTGTGTGTGTGGTCCGTATGATGCCATTAAGTGCAACTGTGTGACTGTGTTTTGTAATAATTTGGATGAAAGAAGAACTTTGCAGCAAAGATAAATCTGATCCATCTCACAAACAGAAACTGCTGGGATGCATGGTTTTGCGTTACTCCTGCAGTGAGATAACCATAAATGGATATGTACAGAATTCTGGGAATATACAATGACCTTGTATAAGAAAACGTGCACCAAGGCTGGTCATTTCATGAAAACTTTGATAGTGCCTACTTTATGGATTTAGTGGATTTAACGTTAGTGTTAGACATGGAGGGAAGCTGGTTGGCCTCCACTGTCTGAAATATACATATATATCTGCTTTATGACTATGATAATCATATTGAAGCTTTTTCACTGTGTTTATCCCCACGTTATCATCTATATCGTTCCATCTCTCTTCAGAGCTGACCATTTTCTCCTTTCCTTCCATTGGAGCGCTCTCCGCCAGAGTTTAATTATCAAGCAAACAGCCTGACTCATCATTCATTCTACTGTCGGCCCATGTTGTGAACATGCACTGCTTAATTTCCCTGTCTTACAACCTTTAGTCATGACAGCGTGGTTTCAGTTTCTCTGCAGACACCCATTCAAGTCACTAACACCTCCCCATACAGACTGTTACATTACATGTGGACCATTTATATATATATATAGACTGTTACATTACATGTGGACCATTTTCATATTTGCAAAATGATTTTCAATATAAATGTTTGTCTTTATAGCAGGGAGATGCTGACAGGACAGAGACTTTGTCAGTCAAAGTCCCACCAGGACTCAGTTCTCTCCGCTCTCAACCAGCAGAGGAAGGACGGCCTGCTGTGTGATGTCACCCTGGTGGCCGGTGAGCAGAAGTTCCACGCCCATAAGGCTGTCCTGGCAGCATGCAGCGATTATTTCAGGGTGAGTCCTCCTGTTTTGTTTTTGTTTTGTGTTTTTGCAGCTTTGGGGCACCATTTAAAAAGCATGTAGCTAACATTTTACAATAGTTATTGCGTTTATCATCATAGTATTTATACTTCTATCAAAAGCCAGTATTTGTCAGACTGTGCAGGCCACTGCAAAATAGAAAGAGATGACAGCAATACCTGTGATTATTAAACCATCTTCAGGGTTGGTAGATTGACTGTCACAATTAAACACTTCTCTGTGCCAAAACTTCATTAGTATTCATTAGTCATGCAACAGTATTGGATCTCCCATGGCTCTAAATACTGTCAAGAGAAAAACAATATCTAAGAGAAGATAAATGTGTTTTTAATGCGAGATACATGAACGGCCACAATAGCTCAACCTTAATAAACCCATCTGTGGTGTTTGTGTAACGTGTGATCTTTCTCTGAGGTTTTGCTCTGATTCTATTTAAGCGTCAGAGGTGGTTTTAGGTAATGTAAGAAAAAGTGTGTTGAGGGAATTTTGAAAGACAAATATTAAAAAGATTAGGATGTGGCGTTGAGTTCTTCTTGAAAAAAAAGTCAG